GGTCACACCCGGGTGCCGGGCCCAGCCCCTAGGCAGGGGTCGGCTGGAGGCCGCACTCTCGGGGCTTCTCGGGAGGGTCTCGCAGCCCAGCCCGGCTCGGGAGCGAGGGCCCGGTCCTGTGACTCTCCGGGGACACCAGAGAGGCCCCCCAAACGCTGCCCAGCAGTCCGGCCCCTGCCCAGAAGCCTCTGGTGTCTTGGGAGCGGCGCCCATGGCTGTTCCTCAGAATGCTCCTTCCCCCACGCCCATGGGCTGTCGGCAGCCTGCTGTGGTAACATCGCCGCCGCCCTTTGGCAAAGGAGGAACCGAGGGAACAGAGCGCTGACCGGGCTGCCTCAGACACACAGCCCGAAGCAGGGGCAGGGCGCAGATCCAGGGCACAGCGCGCGCAGATCCAGGGTGCAGCAGCCCCTCCGTCCTGAGGGCAGTGCTGGCCGGGTGGGGCGATGAATGAGTGAGAGCTGCTGGCCAGACGGCCTGGACGGGCAGGGAGGGCCTCACCGGCCTGGCTCTGGGTCGAGAACCTGTCTGTCTCAGAGGAAAATGGCCATTTCAGCCCGGCCGCCTGTCTGGTGGGAACCTTTCTAGAACTGGGAACCCCAAGAGGGTCCCTCCCAGGACCCCACTGTAGTCGAATTAACCCCTGGGATGCAGACGGGGCCTCTGACCCCCAGAAGCAGGAGCGGATTTGACCCCGCGTCTACGGCCGTTGGGGTCTTTCCCTGGGACACTGGTTTGTGCTGGGAATGGTGGGCTCGCTTGCTCACCTGCTCCCCCAAAATGTTCTTTCTGCAAAGCCTACCAGAGAGAGGAACGCCACTTTCTGAAAAATAATCAAGGTTTCCATGGAAACATGACCAATTTCCACCCCAGCGCCGCCCGGACGCGCGGCCAGTTTTCAGCCTCCCTGCCCGGCCCGGCCCTGGCCTCCTGGGTCAGCATGGTCGGAGGGCAGGAGGGGAGGGCTGGCCTAAACCCTGCGCGGCTGGTACAAGCTGCCACCGGGGTCCTGCATGCGGGACGGGGAAGGAGTGACCCTTGCCGCTCACGGGGGGGGTGGGGCAGGGGGCGGCTTGGACACGTGGCCATGTCGGGCTGACGGGAGGCCTTTCTCTGGGTACCCCGAGAAGCGCGCCCCGGCCAGCTGGGTGTGCGGTAGCTCTAGAGCAGAGAGACACTGCCCGACGGCTTCCCAAAGTGGGCAGATCACAATACCCCCATGGACACGCTGTTTTGGGGTCTCATCTCTTCTCAGTGTGGCCCGGCCCCGCGAGCGTGACCCCCGTGGGCCTGGAGGGGGCCCGCGCTCGTCCAGGGTCACTGCTGCTGGCCACAGCCCATGGCTGTCTCATGGAGCTGGAGGCGCATTTTCTCTTTCCCTTCGTCTTCCCATCGCTGGACCAAGCCCACTCATTAAATTAGGCCCCCACAGGTAGCGTTTGTCTCTGGCCTTGTGGCCAAGACCCCGTAAGTCGGCGGGAAGCGTCGGCCCGGCCCGGCCGTCCGGAGAGGGGGGAGCTGTGGGAACCCAGCGCCCCGCCCCGCCCCTCCAGGCCCCTGCACGGGGGGGCAGCGTGATAATGGAACCTGGACGCTTGGCTCACCCAGCCGCGGGTGCCGTCTGTGAGTGCCCAGCGCGGCGCGCCATCTTCCAGGTGAAACGCTGGAAGGAGCTGAATGAAGGGTGAATGAGCGAACGAATGAATGGGCTGCAGGCGAGAGGTGGCGTCTGCCTTGTGAGCCCGGGGGGTGGCAGCGCCCGGGGCAGCTGGTCCGGCCGCCTCTCTGCTGGGACGGCGCCCGCCCTGCTGACCTGGGACGCCGGCGAAGGGACAATCAGGCTTTGTGGCGCTTCCCCGCCAGCCCAGACAGCGCCAGTTACGCGGCCGGCCCGGACACGCCGTGCTTGTCCCTCGATGGGGCGCCACGCTCGCTCACCCTGGCCCTGCAGGGGGCGGGATGCATGTCTTGGTCACTCCGGTGACCCGTGGCCAGGATGGAGCAGAAGACGGGTCAACGGGAGGGCGACCGGGGCCCCCGTCCAGAGCCCACCGGGCCAGCGATGGCTTCATCCTCTCCCCAGGAGGCACCGGGTGTCACAGACGCACATGTGGCACAGCCCGGCGCTGCTCCTGGCGGGGGCCGCGGTAGCCCCAACTGAGACGGGGCCTCCCAGGAGGCGACACCTTGGCAAGCAGCCAGTGCTCGGTCATCCCCAGCGACACCCGGTGCCTTTCAGTCATCCCAGACTCCTTGAGCAAGGCCTTCCAGGACCCGCTGGGCCCAAGCTGACCCGGTCCACAATGGGACATCCACGGGCCTCACAACAGGTGGCGGGCACAGACCGCTAACAGCCTCCAAGTGCCCCCAGGCGCCTGTCACGGTCTTCTAGGCCTGATCAAGGAGCTGGGTCAACACGAGGTAGAAGAGGGTCTGCGGGTGGCCTCCCAGTCTGCGGGGGG